GAAAGGAAAGAAACTCAATCCGAACTCCAACATCAAAACAATAATAAAGAATTTGCAGCGACAGGCAAAATACATCAACCAATGAAGGGAGTAGTAACAAAGGAAATATCAGTCTTTATCAGTCGTTATTCAAGTCTCTTAGCTATTGAACATGCAAACGCAGCAGAGGTGCATCTACATGTTAAGGATAGTTCTTAGTATTTTAATCGAACCTTGTATAGCCTCCTGTTGCACAATAGCCAGGTCTCCTCCCTGCACAGTCCGAAGGCATTGAGGAGTCTCCCCCACCAAGCCTCCCAGGGCACCGACAACCACAGGGACCACGTCAACCTGGGTGAGGGACCAAATCCTCGAAATCTCCCGCTTAAAATCATAATATTTCGAGCGCTTTTCAGCCATTTTCTTATTGATGTTGTTCTCACCAGGAACGCTGATGTCTATAATGTAGGCGATGCGCTCCTTGTCATCAACAAGGAGCAGATCGGGCCTGTTTGCTGATAGTTTCAGGTCAGTTGGGACCGAATACTCCCAATAGAGGCGATACCGATCACTCTTGACCAATGCCTTGAGCTGGTGGTCGAATCGTGAAGCACCAGTAGGTAGATCTCGTGCTCTACACATTTCGAAGTGCACATACTTTACTATCCGGTTATGTCGTTCAATGTAACTGGTCCGAGCAAGAACTGGGCAGGCACTGACAATGTGGTCAATTGTTTCTAAGCTGCCCTTGCAAAGCCTGCAATTGGCATCTGTTCGAGCAATTGACTTCATTATGGCGTATTGGTAATTTTTCGTTTTGAGGGATTGGTCTTGTGCTGCCATAATCATGCCTTCAGTTGAAGGTTTCAGTGTCCTTGATTTCAACCACATGAAGGTAAGCTCCTTATCTAGGCGATTCTTCTCCAATCGGCTCCAATATCTCCCATGCAGCGGCATAGTGGAAAGTGTTTTGGATTTTCGCTCAGCGCACGCTTGTTTAATGGTATGCTTATTGGGTAAAGCTGGTCCAGCTGCTGGCAGATCCAAACTCGACAAGAACTTAGCGGCCTTTGCAGTTATTGAGTGGCTTTTTGTTGTAGGTTTTTGTTGATGATACTGATAAAGCAGGTTTATTCTGTTATTATTATTATTACAAAAAAAGTGTATTATCTACGCATGCATCTACGCAAGAGTCACCACCAGCCAATTAGGACATGTGTCACAGTATTGAACGTTTTCGTTCCCTTCTTGTCAAAATACTACAGGGAATGATGGAAATAAGCTAAAAGACTACAACTATAAGGAAAAGAAGTTCAGAAATATATCACTCCAATTATGTGTAGAAGTGACACGAAAAAAAAAATATAATGAATCAAGAAAACAGCATGCAAATCCAGTAAGTGACAAAAACGTAGTGACAAGAAAAAGAGAGAAATATCAAGAGATCTATTTCGCACCTTCACGACGAACAGTGCCAAACAACTGCAAAGACAACACATTCTCCTTCTGAACACAAAGCTCAGGGTCTAACTTACGTATGTACAAAGCTTCCAACACGGCAAGATGTAACAAAGACCTACCACGCGACAAAACAGAGAATACATCATCGGAATACCACTCACGACAACTAGCACTGCCCGACAGGTGACACTTGATTGCCGAGGTACCGTTTCCCTGACCCGACGACTTGGCCGTTGTCACCTCCGATATTGCCGCTTGCGAATCTCTCCCATTACGCCCTGCGTCCCTGCAATTCCGATTGCCTCGGTCGAGATCAGTGTGCTGCCCCACGTCCAGTCTGTCCTGCTTCCGTGGTCTACCTCGTTTCTTCACATTAACCGTTGTTGTCACTTCCAGTATTGGTTCTTTTGATTCGTCATCAATTCGTCTCCTCAATTGACTTCTGGTGACTCGTCCGGGGCTCGATTGTCCAGATGTCAGTTTCGGTGGTTTCCGTATAGGTCTCTTCTTCTTGTTGACTGTTGTTTGGGCTGGGCTTGTTTGGGCTGACATCTGGACAATCGAGCCCCGGACGAGTCACCAGAAGTCAATTGAGGAGACGAATTGATGACGAATCAAAAGAACCAATACTGGAAGTGACAACAACGGTTAATGTGAAGAAACGAGGTAGACCACGGAAGCAGGACAGACTGGACGTGGGGCAGCACACTGATCTCGACCGAGGCAATCGGAATTGCAGGGACGCAGGGCGTAATGGGAGAGATTCGCAAGCGGCAATATCGGAGGTGACAACGGCCAAGTCGTCGGGTCAGGGAAACGGTACCTCGGCAATCAAGTGTCACCTGTCGGGCAGTGCTAGTTGTCGTGAGTGGTATTCCGATGATGTATTCTCTGTTTTGTCGCGTGGTAGGTCTTTGTTACATCTTGCCGTGTTGGAAGCTTTGTACATACGTAAGTTAGACCCTGAGCTTTGTGTTCAGAAGGAGAATGTGTTGTCTTTGCAGTTGTTTGGCACTGTTCGTCGTGAAGGTGCGAAATAGATCTCTTGATATTTCTCTCTTTTTCTTGTCACTACGTTTTTGTCACTTACTGGATTTGCATGCTGTTTTCTTGATTCATTATATTTTTTTTTCGTGTCACTTCTACACATAATTGGAGTGATATATTTCTGAACTTCTTTTCCTTATAGTTGTAGTCTTTTAGCTTATTTCCATCATTCCCTGTAGTATTTTGACAAGAAGGGAACGAAAACGTTCAATACTGTGACACATGTCCTAATTGGCTGGTGGTGACTCTTGCGTAGATGCATGCGTAGATAATACACTTTTTTTGTAATATTTTCTGCCTCCGTCCTACTTTCAAATTATTATTATTATTATTATTATTAATATTATGAAATGACCCAAAGGCAATGTGCCTATCGAGGGGTTCATTTGATTGAAAGAACAGTAGATGTAGTATTTAGAAGCAGATGTCGATGCTTGAGCCAGTCAGCGACGTTGGTGACGGCCCCTGACAGGCAGGCTGATGTGGCTAGCACTGATTTTCTGTGGCAGTGCACGGCAATGTCATCGGCAAATTGCAGAGATGGAGCAGGATGGGCTATGGCAGGGACATCGCGGGTGTAGATGCTAAACAGGATCGGTCCTAGGACCGAGCCCTGAGGTACACCAGATGAGCACTTAGCATCAACACTGTAGGTGGGGCCAATGCGCACTTGCTGGGTTCGATCGCTTAAGTAGCTGCAGAACCAGCGAAGGGAGGCATTGTCCAGGCCGAGATCGAATAGGTCCCGGACCAGTTCGCTGTGATTGACCTTGTCAAAGGCTTTTGATATGTCGATTAGGCAGACGCCTGTGGTCAACTTGTCGTCCCGGGCCTTTAAGATGGCATCTGTTGCTACAACTAGGGCGTCCTCTGTGTAGTGCTCACGGCGGAAGGCAAACTGAGTCGGTGGTATGGCACATGATCGCTCCAGATGTGCAACAAGTTGCTTCTGGACTATCTTCTCGAGTAGTTTGGATACGATCGGCAGGAGCGACACAGGACGATAATTTGCAGCTACCGATGGATCGCCAGCTTTGAAGAGAGGGCTTATTACAGCATGTTTGAAAGCCAGAGGGATTTCACCATGCCTCAGCGATGAGCTGAAGAGCACTGAAAGCGATGGAGCCAACAGGTCAGCGCAAGCACGTAGCAGACACCCAGGAATCCCATCACTGCCTGTGGCTTTGCAGGGATTTATCCGTTCCAGGAGGTGCTTGACCTCATCTGGGGTGGTTGACTGGAAGGTCAGCATTGAGCCTTGCGGCTGTGGACCAATGGGAATCTGGAGCTGCGCCGGACGGGACGGATCATGTACAATGCTGTGGAAGGCATCCGAGACTTCTGTGATGTCGCACGTTGGCTGATGATGTTGACGAGAACGGCTAGTGACAGAGTTGATCACGGACCACATCATCCGCAGATTGGAGGAGTGATCACGACACTGCTGTTGGAAATGCTGATTGCGTTTTCGCCGGTAAGCTTTTGAGGCTTCTGCACGGGCTCGCTTGTACTCCTCATGTAGATGCACGTTAGTCTTATCTCGTAGCCACTTTCGGTGAAGTCTATTCTTGCGCGGCGGGTAATGTTAGTTATTTGCTGCGATAATGCTAAAGGCAATGCTCATAATATGATGATATAATGCCACTTATAATGCTCACACTACTCCATAATGCCAGTTTGAAAGTTGGAAAAGTCGATTTAAGAAGGTCGTCTTGGATCAAGGCTAAAGCGTAGAAGAAAAAACCTTAAACAGCGGTGTGCATGTTGTCTGAAACAATCCACTGGGAAGGTTGATTTGCAACGTCAAGTCTCTGGACGAAGCCGGACAGGTTCAGATGCACGATTTTCGGAACTGGACCTAGCCAGCTTCATGCATGACACCGTTGTCGACCGGCAATTATGCTTGTAATGCCAATTTTGCATGCGAAATGGTGTTACAATGCCAGCATTATGCCACCTGGAAAAAAGGGACTATAATGCCAGCCATAATGCTAGCATTACCCGCCCATGCCTATTCCTAGTTCCTAACCTGAGCCTTCCAAGTAATAGTTGGAAGGACCTTGGCTTAGGTTGTTCGTTTGCGCCTCGTAGAAGTGTTGCGGGGGGGGGGGGGGGGGCGGGGGGGGGGGGAGGGTCAGGTCGTTGAATGTCTAGTACAGTGTAGTACAGTGCTGGCAACTGAAATCCGACCCCCTTGCCGGGGCGCCGCCCCGGCAAGGGTGGTCGGATTTCAGTTGCCAGCATGCACCGTAGTATGGCCGACTAATATGTCTGTGACAAGCCAGATTAGGCGCAGAGCCCATGGCCCACCTACTGAGTCTGTGACCTAGTAGTAGTACATGTACGGACGGTACATGACATTGTACTACTATTATTTTTTTGTAGTACTAGTAGTACTGGCGCCCGCCGCCCGGTTATCCTGACCGGGTACCTTTTTTTTTAAGGCGGACAAGAACAAAGAATTCGGCGCGAAATACAGTTCGTTTTGAAATGAGCCGACCAAGCTGCAAGGCGGATAGCTAGCTGATCTGACAGCGAGAAAAATCACCTGTGTGTCACTCACCATGGTCATCTTCTATTTTCGAAAGAGAGTGCGTAGGTCAAGTAATTGTTGATATCTGGATGGCTTCACCTCGACCTGTGCTTTTATTTAGCCAGCTCAAGAGGGACAGAACAATTTTTCTCTCCTAAACTGCATGCTTCTTCTGTTCATTGCACGAGTCGATACCGCAACACTGTATAGCGAGCGAGTCTCTAGCCGCTATCACCGCTATCACCGCTCTCCTGAATTAGTTGGACATTTCTGGTGTGATTGTTGATTCTGTGGAAGTAGCAGCGGCCTTGTTGTCCAGACCAGGCGGTACTTCAACTCAGTCATGTCTTCGTCAAACAAGCAATTGGATGCGGCCAAACGCAAAAAGTCCAACGTAAGTGCTGGAGATTTGTTCCTGGTGGTGCACGTGTGCGTGCATCAACGTGAAAATACATGATTGTACAAATCATGGGCGTAGATCAACATTACGAAAATGCTTGTGTGTGTGTGTGTGTGTGTGTGTGTGTGTGTGTGTGTGTGTGTGTGTGTGTGTGTGTGTGTGCGTGTGTGGTGTGTGCGTGTGTGTGTGTGTGTGTGTGTGTGTGGTGTGTGTGTGGATCAATGCCGCAGCGATTATAGCCACTGGCGAGAATTCTGCCATGTGGTCCCACCCATGTATTGTTCTGCTTTCTCTACACACATCTACAATATGTGTTCCCATAACATGATTGATTTTTTGCCTACATCTATATGCCTCAAAATGTGGACAGCCTAAATCACCTGAAAACTGTACAATTTGGCTTGGCTGCTCCTTGTAATTTCTTGACTTCCCTACAGCCTCTCAACAAGAGGATTCCCAAGAATCCCCGATACAAACATATCCAGTCAGTCCTGGACACCGGTAGGTTGAGCTATGGGGATGGTGCCGGGTGCAGCACTGCTGAACGCCGAAGAACGGCCAGGCTAGAAATTCACCAAGCCGCAGCATACCAATGTATACACGGGGTGACTCAACTGTGCATAGACTGTAATACATGAAAATAGGAACCGGGTCTTGGCTAGGAGGCTGACCCCCAGTTCTTCGGCGACCGACAGTACTACAGGGGAAAGTTATGCGGACGATACTGAGTAGGGGAAGTGGTATGATAAATGTTGTCTGCGATACTCTACCTCTACATTGCTGTTCTTGATGCCTCTACTGTCTACTGTCCCAGGTCAGTGTAGTGTTTATGGTAGCAGTGGCGGTGGTAACATTATTGGCAGTGGTTGGGGGGAGGGTGATGACCGTGATTTTGGCAGCGACAACTTCAGCTGCTGATTTCATTTTTGCTCCACCCTGATTTTTCGGCTAGCACTCTATAAAACAAACAACTTGGTGTGCTGTGATTGCCCTGGCTGGAGAGCTAGGATCCTTATGTTTCATGTTTATTTTATGTTTCCCATTCATGTGTTCTTGCAGGCGACAGCATGTCCCGTTACTTGGAAAAAGTTGACGAGATCCGCCATAGTAAGTTCTGACATGCAATTTTTTTAGTTTGGTTTCAGCTATAGGTTTTAGTTAGGTTTTAGTTACAAGTAGGTTTTAGTTAGGTTCTAGTTAAGTTTTAGTTAAGTTTTAGTTAGGTTTTAGTTAGGTTTTAGTTAGGTTATAGTTTAGTTTTAGTAAGGTTTTAGTTACAAGTAGGTTTTAGTTAGGTTAGGAAATTCCCTCCAGTTAGAGTTAGGGTTACTCTGTTTGGGCATCACATTATTATTATTATTATGCACTTACGCGTCGATGTCAGCGGTGGTAAACCGCCCACAAATTCGCACGTGCTGAATGGACTTGGGAATTGGGAAATGAAAAAATAAAAATAAAAAGAGCATCACATCATAGCGTGATATTCGTTGTCCGTAGTGTTGGTCAACATCCTGAGAAGGGTAGTGCATGCTGATCACCTTTATCAAGGTTTATTGACACCCAGTCAGGTCAGTGACCTTATCAGAACTTGGAGCATATTTTAACTCGGATGGTGAGCATTCCAAGTTGGAAGGTTGTTGGTTTGCGCCTTGGAGAAGTGTAGGAGCTAGGTGTCAGGTAGCCGAATGTCTCAGTACTCCTTGTCAGTTTTGTGCCATTTTGTCGAACTCGCTGACTTTATAAGATCTGGTTACGTTGGTGGACAGTTAGTGATAGCTTGCATAGACCTCGGTCCTACCGGTAGGACCATCATACACAGACATGCTGCATGGCCTCTGTTCTAACATTGACTTAAGGGGGTTCGGGACAGTTAGGCCCAAAAAATTAATTTCAACATCAGCCCAATCTGACATCAGGTTTGAATAGCTACAGCCTTATATTTTCGCTTAGTAACATCAGTTTTTCAATTGCCTGAATAGGTCTTGCCAAAAACACAATTTTCCTTGATGACACAAAATAACACAAAATCCGAAAATTGATGAGAAATCGTCCATAACACTAGTTAGGACAGAAAATATGACATAAAATTATACAGACTGTTCGAGGTATTGACTAAGATGATATCAACACCGAAAAATGTACACTTTGGTTGACGATGGGATCCAGGTCGTCATTTCCTTGAGAAGAACAAAAAGACGCAAAAAATGAAACTTTGAATATTTTTTGCAGCTTATTTTTGAGTTTGCCCCATATGTGGATACTTCAAATACATTCTATAAGTGGGTTGGAACAGGTTTACCGTGGCGAAAATAGGGGTCACCGTGCATATTCTGGAGAAAAATCCAAAAAACTGTCAAAATTTGCCTAAAATTGGTAAATTCACGTATCTATAATTATATTGCTTGTACTTCGCTGCTGCTGCTTTGGTCATAACTTATTGGATTTTTGGCTGTTAGGTGTTGCATAAACTCGCTAGAGCCCTCGGCGTTCAGAACAATACAAGGATGGAATAGCTGAACTAGTGAATTTGCCGGAAAACCCGGGGTGCACGCATTATCGATAGGTACTTTTCTCCATGATTACTCTCCTGTTGGTACTTGGTTTTGATACATGTACATGTGTTGGAATCTTCGGAAAGCATGCAGATTCCTCACATCCAACACCACACGACACAGCAAGCCAGGGGCACCAGAATTACATGGATAAACTGAAGTTCAGAGAGAAAAAACGACAACCGTCTTCTAACTACCAAGGGAAGAGAAGCACTTCTTGTCGAAGGGAGAATACATAAAAAGGGAGAAGAAAGCCAAAATGGGTACGCGGCATAGGAAAGTACAACATTATCGTACCACGCAATACGGTGCGTGAGAACACCGCGCGCGGGTACGCGGGATCGGCAGAAACTAGAGTAGAGTGATTATGGATATACGGGACCAAAAAGTAAGGAAGGGTCAAGAGTACAAGTTGCGATTTAGACAAATTTGACGGAAATCTCCCGGGCATGGGGTTTGGAGTGGATACACTACACATGTAGCTGTGACAGCGCTTAGCACAGCCCCATATCAAACTACAATGAAAGCTGACATGTTGTAACGAATCAGAAAACATTGAGTCCTCTTGTTCTTCAACTATGCGAGCTAGAACGTGTTCCCACACTGGCAAAATGATGGTATTTTACGGTGCGCACAAACAAGTGAAGCGCTGTGCCACAGGGCGTTCCTTACAGTTGGGTTGCTGCTGGTTCTTGGCTAGGTGTTCAGCCACCGCTAATATAATCTTCCTTGAGGCTGTCACCCGCTTCTTACCTCTGACTTGCTCCTTCATCAGTCTGGAAATGGCTGGCTCACCATTTCGTTTGTAGGACAAGACAAAGTGCTTCATCACCAACCCACTAGCAGCTGCCCGCACTGCAACTGATTTAGAGCAGCACGTTGCTTGGACCAACGGTTGAAGGGTGGCCAGCCGCTTTTGCTGATGTTCTGCAAACTCCATCGCCGAAAATGCTGATGCAAATTTGACAGAGTGCTACAGGATACTGGCATCAGGGCGAGCTTCGACTAGGGCCGCAATATCCGCAATAGCATCATGAGCAGCGAACTCATTCCCAACGATGAACTATAAATCAATGTGAGGCTGTAGCTTGGGAGGTCCGGTATCGCGGTTTAGGGATCATGATGAGTGTACACCCAGCACAAAAATGCACACCATCGACACACACATGCGTGCACACATACACACTCACACACACACACAGACACACACACACAGACACACACACACACACATGTAACACAAAAAATTATAGAACCGCAATAATGGGATAAAAGTACCGGCAATCAGAATTGAAAACACTCATCATTGAACGCACTACAAAACGCAGGCCCACGCTAATACACACACACACACACACACACACACACACACACACACACGCATGCTCTCACACGCAATAGAACACACACGCGCGCGCGTGCGCGTACACACACATACATTCACGCACGTGTACGTACCCACCCACATGCATGTGCACACTCATGTGCATGAGTGGAGATGCCCGCATACACAATCATGTCACACCAACATGCCCTTGGGGCGGTCATGCACGTGTGTATAGTATATGTGCGAGGGCACGTCCACATGAGCGCATATGCATGTGCATGTTCATACATGCGTATGGTGCACACATGCACAAACATGCAGGTCTATGCAAACACACACACGCTCGCGCGCGCCGCGCATACAGTGTGCTCATACATTTCCATAGCCATAGGGTGGCAATGACTCGCAAATATCATGAATAAATCTGATGAGATTGAAAAACACACTTACCCAAAGCAGCTTTGGTGTTGCTTGTGGAAGCACGGGGGCCAGGGTGTTGAGCAGTTACCCTGAGGGCTATCTGTATCTATAATTCTCCATCCCACACTGCTGACACGGAATGACAAGTACGCTGCCCAGGCCGTACCTCTTCTCTTCAACGCAATCAACGAGCGCCAGAGGTTTGCCACATCCAGGATTCTGGCAAGCAGACAATCCCACAGCCAGATACCTGAGATGAACGATTCGTCGACCGTGAAGAGGGGCACTGAACGACCTCTTCGCGGGAGTCGAATCCAGTGGCGTTGGTGGTGGAGATCGCCCTTTCCGTTTTTCAGGAACTCGATCGATCGTTCGAGCTTGCGAAGCGTCCCCCTTCTCGGCTTCTTGAATCATCCAGTACGCAGAATGCGAGGCCGCGTCGTGGGTGACAGATTACTCTCCCGCGTCTTCATCTCCACGACACGTCGACAGGAGAACCAAGCTATCCAAAAACCGCCGATGTCAAAACAAATCCGCAAGTCCAGTAGCGGCTGAGCTTCTTCCTCAAATCTTGTCTCGACTCGAGCACGCGCTGCGAAGTCATGGTCAAACTGCTTGCATGATGATCGCGTCCCATTTTTCCACTCCGAAAGGCATTATTTTTCAGAAAAAAATTCGGAAATCCAACATGGCGCTAACCGTCGCGAACCTCCTTAAAACTTGACCCTAAACTGTTGCTCAGGGGATAATGAAGGAGTCCACAAATTTTGGACCTGATCGCACAAGGCATACTACGAAATTCCATGGTAACAGCCCATGGTAACCATGGAAATGGTGTATGGAATTATGCATTCCACTGCCTTGGCAGACTAATGAAAACATTAGTACCTCACCACGATTGATGTGCCATGGTCAAAATTCACTTTGTGTGTGTGTGTGTGTGTGTGTGTGTGTGTGTGTGTGTGTGTGTGTGTGTGTGTGTGTGTGTGTGTGTGTGTGTGTGTGTGTGTGTGTGGTGTAGACCAGGCTGAATAGTGGCGGTCAATTCTTCAGCCTTGCAAGCTGTTGAATGGTGCAATCCCAGCGCAAGCTGCTATGGCTTCTGCTGTAGCATCGCTATCATCGCCTCCGGCGATGGGCGTCCAATGGTCCAATGGTGTGTGTATGTATGTATGTACCGTAAAGTCGCGGATAAAAGCCGGGCTTATAAGCACATAAGCCGCTTTCTGCATCAGGCTTCAATGCAAACCAGGCTTGTATGCAAACCATGCTTATATGCACCACTGATATTTTTGCCAGGCTTGTATGCACATCGGCCGATCCGGGCTTGCATAGAAGCCAGGCTTCTACGCGCGACACGCCTATTTACCACTGACTACCGGTATGGCGGCAGTTTTACTATGCACTGTACATAGCGCATGCACTCTTGACCTACCCGATCCTCGCTTGCATAGAAGCCAGGCTTCTACGCGCGACAGGCTTATATGCATTGACCCGTTTGATTTTCAGGCTTCTATCCGCGATGTGCTTGTATGCAAACCCGGCTTTTATCCGCGACTTTACGGTATGTGTGTGTGTGTGTGTGTGTGTGTGTGTGTGTGTATGTATGTATGTATGTGTGTGTGTGTGTGTGTATGTGTAAAATAGGGATTCACTGGCCAGAAAAAAGTCACTTCAATCAGCTGTGTGGTGGATACCAGGCTAAAAATAGTGGCGGTCAATTCATCAGCCTTGCAAGCTGGTGAATGGTGTAATCCCAGCACAAGTTGCTATGTCCAACATAGCTGTTCGCTATCATCGCTTCCGCGATGGGCAGGTCTGAGGTCTGAGGTGTGTGTGTATGTGTGTATGTATGTGTGTGTGTGTATGTGTGTATGTATGTGTGTATGGTGTGTATGTGTGTGTATGTATGTGTATGTGTGCTTGTGTATGTGTGCTTGTGTAGACTATCGTTTCCGACCAGGAGAGATCTTCAAGCGCCTAAAGTGCAGCACCCTGGCCCACATGGTGAGTGAGCTCTGATTGTATACAATGTGTCATACCATACAGTACCGACGGTCGCCCAAGAACTAGAGGGTCAGCCTCCTAGCCTAGACCATTCTTATTTTCATGTATTACAGTCTATGCACAGGTGAGTCAACGTATATACATTGGTATGTGCTTGTTGAAATTCTAGCCTGTTTGTTCTTCGGCACTCCGTTCTTCTGCGCCCGACAGTACGGTAATCATAACCATAACCGGAGAGATATAAATAGTTTCCTGTTCTTATTCTTTTGCTGCTCTCACTGCTGCAGCTATTTTTGTTGTGATCACTGTAGGGGTTTCCAGATTATCTTTTTGAATAATGTTTTTTGGATCTTTGGAATTTTTGAATTTTGCTGTTTTCCCGTGAATTTTCGCAAATTCGACAATTTTCCGGAATTTTTTGCCAAATTCTGCCTTTTTTAGACCTCTTTTTGAGGTGTTTTGAAAATCTGGGGGACCAAAGCCCGGCAAAGGCACCAATCACGTGCCACGATGGGCCTGAAAAATGTCGACGTCAGTGCACGCGGCCTCAGATCTGAGCTCAGCACTGTCATGCATTAGGTTACGTCATCGTTGCCATGGCAACGGGTAGATAATTCTCGGGTTTTGAGTGATTTTTTGAATATTTTTTAGAAATTTTTCGCATAGCATCATTTTTTGGATTTGAATCTTGATGCTCGAGAACAGTATCTTGTATCTCAATAATACGCAATTTCTTGCGAATAATCTGGAAACTCTTAGATCACTGTTGCTGTTATCATCGATGACGTCATGATGACGTCATCATTTTTCATTGTTGATTACAATAACGGTGGTTGTTACAGGTTTTACAAGTGTTCACGTTTGCTGATCCTGGACCTGATGCTGAAGAGATGGAGTCAATAGCTGAAGGTAACAAGAACGCTACAGTGTATGGATGGGTCGGCGTAGTGCATTCGGGGAAGGTGGAAATGCTCAGGCAGAAATGTGGATATGCCTAAATTGTCAATAGTCACGCTGATAGCATCTGCTATTCTCTTTTTACATGGAACGGCGATCTGACAATCTCGGTCACATGTGGCTTGAACCTGCGGCCATCTGCTTTCCTTACTGAATGTATGTTGCATGGGCTGCGGAATGTCTGTGTGTCTGTTTGTGTTGTGTGTGTGTGTGTGGGGGGGGGGGGGGGTTGACTGCATACTTTTGAAATTTTAGCTCCGGATTTGAAGTATGAAATCTTTGTGTTGGAAATGAGGACAAGCGGTTGCGATGCCTTCTCTCTTCTCTCATTCTGCACTGGAGCAGCAGCATGTCCAAGTGAGCACAGTCCGCCGGTAGTGGACGACACTCTTGCATCACCCGGGCGTACGACATTCGCACAGTAAGAGCATCACCTCTGCATAAGCTCTGTGTCTGTGATGACAGTTAGAACCTCAGCTCTGTGTGATTTTTACAGTAAGAACATACGAGTCGTAGGCAGAGGCTCTGTGTTTGTGTGCAGTAAGAACATCAGCAGCTTTGGGTCTGTTAGAAACTGCATAGTGCCAGGGCACGCGGTACATTCTGTGAGAACAGATTTTGCATTGCTGTCAAGTTGAGACAGAAGTTTGTCCTCATTTTGACTCCCAATGTTTCCTGGCTAGCCTATACTCTTTGCTCATACCCTATGTTCCCCACTACACCATGCTATCTGCTGTCCCGGGCATCCTGCCTGAATATATGTGTGATATCAACTGTATTGAGAGGGTTCATAGCGTCATGTTCTCCCTTGACTTGCTGCGGCTCACGGGATCATTGCTGTTGTCACTGAATGTCCTGCAGAGTGGCACATGGTATTGGTGAGAAAGATGATGCTACGAACTCTGCATCGCAAACGGAACCATTGTCCGACATTCCGTTTCTCATCTTGGATGTGCGCGACAAGGATGCGTATGAGCGTTGCCACATCATAACGGGTCAGTAGGCGGTGTCCAACCTGTGAATAAGCTCCCTCTTGCATTTTGGTCAGTCGGCCTGTCTGTCTGTATGCCTGTGTTGTACATGTGGCTGCGCTTGTGTCTCTTTGTTGTACATGCGGTTGCACGTGTAGCTCTTACTGCATACATGTGGCTGCTTTTGTGTCTCTTTGTTGTACATGCTGCTGAGTCGTGGTACATGCTGCTGCGCTGTTTTTGACTCCTGCGTACATGCGGCTGCTCCGTTTTCTGTCCCCGTTGTGTACACACTTGCTCGTCTTGTCCCCGTTGTACGCCTTCACTATACTATATTCTGTTGTCTCGTCTTGGCTCGTTGTCAGTCGTCAGTCGTTCTTGTCAGTCACGGTTAGTTGCCTGATAGCAGTTCTCCAGTCGCCGTGTGAAGTCAAGACTAAGAAAAAACTCTCTCTCTCAATTAACTAGTCCTTTGTTGTGTGGCGTGGCGAGGAGCGTAGAGAAGTAGTTCGTCCTTTGGGTTAAACAACGCCTGCATTCCTGCGTGCCTGTATGTCGGTCGGTCGGCCTGTCTGTCTGCGTACCGGTATGCCTGAGACTTTTGGTCGGATGAGCTTCGCCAACTGCATCGGCACATCGCCCCTATCCCCCTTCGTCTTGTTGTCCGGTGTCACTTCTCTTGTCCTCTTTCCCTGATTGTTAGTAGGGCTGTGTTTGCTAGAAAACAATTCCTGCATGCACGTCTGTCTGTCCCCCCCCCCCCTCCCCCGGGAACTTCTTTGCTCCTTGCTTTTGGATGACAAGAACTCAAGGTATGTTGTACCATGAACTTGGATTTGGAGATCATCCAGCCTGACCAGCATGAACATTGAAGGCCGTAGGTAAGCGTGTCATGTGTATGGCAATTTATGGCAGCCAGAGGCTGCCTGCTGATGTGATAAAGAAGACATTCTGCGAACCGCTTCAAGTTGAACGGCACTGTATTTTTGAATGACTGTGAAATGTTATTTCTGCTCCGCAGCACGCAGCTACCCAGCCGCTATGCTGACCAGATCATGTAACTACTTTACGCGTGAAATCCTTCAATACGTATCCTCCTCCTCCTTATTATGATTCTTGTTGACTGGTTGTTGTTGTTGACCCGTTGTGGTGGTGGTGGTGGTTGTTGTTGCTGCTGCTGCTGCTGTTGTTGTTATTTAAAATCTTTATTCTCACGATAGCCGTTGTTGCTGCTGCTGCTGCTGTTGTTGTTGTTGTTGTTATTGTTTCAAATCTTTATTCTCACAATGTTGCTGCTGCTGCTACGTTATTCAAGTGTTTTTGTTGTGCATACGAAATGAGTTGAATGTCATGCAATTTTGCCGCACAGCTTCACAGTGCGTGGAGACCTGAGATGAACAGTCTCTTAAGACAGGTGGTCTTCTCAGACAGATGATCCTCTAAGACAGGTGCTCTCTTACTGCATGCTATGACCCTGGTGACTCCACGCGGGGTTCACTCAATGCATGCATTTTTGTACAGTAAAACCTGTAACTACAATTGTAAAGACCACCGTGACTAGCGACCAGCCTGGTACTACAGACTACTCTGCCAGGCACGGACGGTCTCACATTCAGATATGGTTGTGCGGTGCAAACCTCTAACTAAGCACCACCTGCCACTAAAGATCGCTTTCTCTGGCCCCAAGGGGTGGTCGTTAGTTACAGGTTCCGCTGTGTGTTCAATTATTGGCATGAGTCGCATGACTGTATTGAATCAGTGTCCAGCCCATCAAAACAGATTTAACCTTGACGGCTATTGACAACCATTGCTGTAGAAAAACGCGCCCGGAAAGATCATCATTCTCTATGATGAAGATGAGCGTATTGCTGCGGACTGCGCCACGACATTCGTTCAGCGCGAGGTGACAAACGTATTCATGCTGTCTGGAGGTAAGTCTGATTGTTTTTGGGAATGATATTATTTGTTTTGCTCCATTTTCCATGCATGCTACGGAGCAGTGATGCGCGCATTCAGGCCACCGCCCGGGGAAAACCTCAGCCCTATGACTGTGTGCTTTGGAATGTCCGATTAGAGGTCTAATCCTGACACACAAGGGTACAAATTCATAAGTATCTCTGTAATAGTGTTGTGTCATCACTTGCCGGCCTGCAGGTCTGAAGGTTCTGTCTAGCCAGTTTGCAAACGGAATGATCACCGGCGTACTGCCGGAATCCGTCAGGCTAGCATCGCAGCAGCGTTCCTCGCTCAGTCGCAGCACCGGCATGAGCACCGCATCGTCCAGATCAACGGCTACCAGAGGCGGCGGAATGGCCGCTGGAAGCCGTCACGCGGCCGCTCAGTCCAGTCGGGCTGCATCGGCCGCGGCCAGCACTGCACGCACACCGCGGCGGGGCGGCAGTGGCGGTGATGAGGACGACGATTCGCCGCCGTCTCGACCGCTCATCACCCCACCACCCAAGCCTGCAGAGAATCTAGTCCCGCATCCTGGATGGTTCACCGTCGATGATATCCACCCCACAGCTAGCCTATAGTTGCTTCTAGCATAGGTGTAAATCTTTCTCAATACGCACAGACTCCACTGCAGCCATCTTTTATAACCATACATCCTCACAACACTCTCCAAGCAGTCAGTGGGCTACTACACTAATCACTGGCAATTTTTAAAAAATTATCCGAATTTTCGGGGCAAGGCCCATCTTCTTTCATCTGTAGTCTTGTTCAGTGATTGTTGTAGGCTAGAGACCGCTTGGAGAGTGTTGAGAGGATGTATGGTTATAGGTGTAAGTAGTACTAGTGGTACTAGCTGTCAGCGTTCAGGTAGGGAAAGGGATTTATGTGTTTAGCATTCTTCATTTTTACTTTATTGAGCGTATGGGCGATGATGCCTCTCACCAGCCAAATGGCTTGCTCCCACTGAATGACTTCTACACTCACCGGGTGTAGGTGCATGGGACTGTGGGCCGTAGTCTCAGGCTAGTTACCATGGTTACGTCTGATGCAGTTCATTGAGTTGAAGTGGGGATGTGTAGAGAACTGTTCAGTATCGTGCAAGAAACAATTCTGTGATTCGACGTGATTGTGGTGTGATGTTGACTCGGACTGGTACTGTAGCGTGTGCATGGCGGACTGATCCGGCAGTGTTGTAAGCTGTGTTCTTGACATCACTGATCAGTCTCCGTAAACTGAAGTGTATTCCTTGACTGTATTCCTGCACATATCCAGAACATTGAGGAGACACTGGATACCCTGCTGCTTGAAGGTAAGACGACAGTGGATCTGCATGCAAGCACATCTGCATCTTGTTTGCAAGTTACTTTCCTCTTCCTGAGATGTGCATGCATATGTGTGCACCCTGTTCTATCGTCTCCCAACCATAATATTATTATTCTGTCCGCAGATTGAGTATTATAATTATTATGATGATGTCATCTTGTAGCCAGTGATGTCATCATGTATGCCAGCGACAGTGATAGTAGAATTTATTATTTTGAGAGGGGAGGCCGTACAGACGTTGCCGTCTTGTTACAGTGATGTGATGTCATCCTGTATACTCGAGTACCTGTGAAGTTGGATCACGAGGCTCGGATGGAGAGCCAAGGATTTATAGGAAGAAACGAAAGGACCAATGAGCTACAAGTTACGCTAAAATGAGCTGATTGTCAAGTAACTGGTGGTGTTAGTGGACATTATAGCGTAACTTGTAGTTCATTGGCCCCTTTCTTCTACCTGTGAAGTCTTGTAATTATTGTGCATACAGAGAGCGGATTCCTCCGGTTCGATAGAGTGCTCAATGCAGAAGCAGAGCAGTAACACACGAGTCACAGAGTACCACACGTCTGGATTGTTATAACTAATAGTTTCATGCAAGATGGCAATCTTCAGACAACAGTTGTCTGAAGATTGCCATCTGGCATGAAACTATTAGTTACAACAATCCAGACGCGTGATACTCCGTGACTCGTGTATGTTGCTGTGGTACCAAGTACATCACCATCATCTCTCTCTCTCTCTCTCTCTCTCTCTCTCTCTCTCTCTCTCTCTCACACACACACACACACACACACACACACACACGCACACACACACCAGGTGATCGCAGTGCATCAAGAACTACAGGAAGTCGAGCAGGCTCTGCACCTACAGGTGGTGGACGGTCAGCTGCCGGCAGTCGGCAGCCTACTCAACGCGCCGCTCCTGCGCCTGGTCGGTCCTCCAAGGTACCAGGGCGCGCCGCTAAGTGATTTCCTTTATTCTGCTCTCGTTGTAACGAAGTACATGACTGTGGACTGTGAGCAGCAGAAGCTCATGCATGCTGGTGGTCTGCTGTACCCGGGATGACCATGGCAACATCACACCTGATGTGCGAGTCAGAAACGCTGATCTTGTCTTGCGTGAATGGATCTGGCCGTGCGTTCTACAAGCCTACACTGAATGCAGCAGAATTAGCTGTGCAACTGGCTGTGATGTACATGTAGATTTAAGCCGGGTTACCAGATGTGCTGTAATGCTGTACTCTCACTCCACTGCAGACTGCTGCATAGTGTAAGAATAGGCCCAGACGTGACCGATGGGTGCACAGTACCAGTACGTTTTCCAGATTTACAAATAACAATATTGCACGGTTGAATGCGTGTTGATAAATCACTCGTTGGCTAGTAACCCGTATGCTGTAGCTGCCCGGTCATTCAGTGTATTCTACCGCATCATGAACGGTTGTGTAAAAAACGATATCGGTTATGTCATTGGGTGCACTTGTTAACAATATCCCTGCACCGTACCAGTGATGCATGGCTTGTGTGTCACTGTGGTGATTTGTCACTTGCTCATGCGCTACTTTATGTGTATAGCCAAGAAGGAGATGCCACCGCAGCGAGTTCTTCAATCTCCGGATTGCTTTCCTAATCCCCGAACAAGAAAGTCTGAGTTCAGTTGATGATTTCATACTTGAGATAATCTCGAACAGGGACACAGAGTACCAATTGAAAGAGAGGACTCGTTTCAGATTTCTATTTTCTGACAACTCTTGTCTTATGTGCTGAATGCCGCGTAGTGTACCATATACAGGTGAGGATATCACCATATTCTCACCTGTATATTTATCACTTTATACCAGGGTATAATACTCCTACTTCGAAGTATAAATTATGTGCTATTTTCTTACTTGTATCCTTGTGTTTGTCACTCCAAGCTTATAAATCCTATTGCTATTTTTGATATTATCTTCAGTCACGAGTTTCCAATGATAATTGTGACGAGAAAATGTTCTGGAACAATATAATTATTCGTTGCCGAGTATGATTGTGATGTGAGTGCGCCTATAGTTTTATTCATTGCAAACATAGGAGGGAAAGGGGAAGGTTGCCAGTATCGTCATCGACATGCATGTACATCCGCCAACGTCCTTCACAGCTGAGACGTTCAGCTCATGCTTGTCTTGGTTGTGCTCACCTACCCCTCCTATAATCATATACAGTCGTCCCTCTCTAATCCGGCACTTGTTTATCCAGCACCCTTGCAAAACAGCACACTTTCTGGCAAAACGGATTTTTTCAGTTCATTTTCTACGCTTTAATCCGGCACTTGAATTCCGCCTCCAGCAGCGATTTTCTGCAACAAATCACTCAAACTGTACATAATTCGATTTTCTAATCCAGCAGTTGTACATCGCAGACTGTCAGGGACCATTGTAACATACACAACACATGCAACATACACTTGGGAATATCCCATGCCAGTACATAGGATATTCCTAAGTGTATGTTATAGACATGCATTCCACAAAGTACTTGGTTTGACACAGAAAATCCCTACGTTTTGACGTACGACACAAACATGTATGATAACATGTGGGCCGGGTTGGAGGGCAGGATTTCATAATCCAGCACCCTTGTTTATCCAGCAGAAAATGCCGTTGCAAAAGGTGCCGGATTAGAGAGGGACGACTGTAACTAACTTGGAACCTTCCGATTGGGAAGGCTGTTGCGTAACTGTTGGAATGCCCATCCAAGAATATTAGATGTGCTAGAGCTGTCTGCCAGTTTAAAGTCAGTGTCGTCTGTCAGGGTCGTGCAATTATGTTATCGCATGAACTGATTGTTTTAATAAAATAGTGGTGTTATTATTATTTTAATAAAAATTATTAAATTTTTGATAGGGCAATCCCCGCAGTACAGGCCTAAGGCCTTTTGACAGGGTACCCTAAAAAACGAAGAACAGAATTACGGAAGGTATGCAGGGAAGAACTTGAGCGGACCTCCGCTGGGAGGGCATTCCAGCGTGTTAGTGGACATTATAGCGTAACTTGTAGTTCCTTGGTCCATTTTTCTATAATTTTTTCCTTGGCTCTCCATCCGATCGAGTCCATTCTTGCACAGAACACATATCCGAATGCAAGAATTATTTCGCAATCTATACCCTCGCATGCAAAGACGCAAATCCACACAATCAAGTAGACACTTCCTTTTATCAAACATTTTCTTTCCCTTCTCTTCACTTTTTTTGACTTCAGGATCATACATGTAGATCTACACTACTACGACTACCGGGAATGTTTCCCGCTGGGGTCAAATATTTGACCCCAGCGGGGAATATCGCTCCTTTTCCCATGGTACGAACGATTTGGGCCATTTCAGCCAATCAGCGACCGTTTTGAGCGGAGGTATATGGACGATATACCCCGCTGGGGTCACGGGGTCACCAATATACCCCGCTGGGGTCACGAATATTCCCCGGGTCACGCCAATAAGGGAGATTTTAGTGCTGGTCACGCTCTATTTGGGACAGTACATGGGATAAATGGATTATACCATTCGTAGACCTACTCTGTGTATACCGTGTCCCTTATATTTTCCCTCGTGCTAACGCACTCGTGAAAATATGTATGGATTATCCCATGAGTAGAGAGGGTCTACGAGTAAAAGGCCTCTTTTACGGGCAAACAGAACACAATATGACAGTGGCATGAGTACGAGCGGTATACCGCCGAATATTTTCACGAGTGCGTTAGCACGAGGGAAAATATAAGGGACACGGTATACAGTTTTTGGACAGTACATGGGATTATGGATTATACCATTCGTACTCTGTGTATACTATACACAGAGTACGAATGGTATAATCCATTTATCCCATGTACTGTTCCAAATAGAGCGTGACCAGCACTAAAATCTCCCTTATTGGCGTGGCCCGGGGAATATTCGTGACCCCAGCGGGGAATATTATTGACCCAGTGACCCCAGCGGGGTAGAGGCGACGGTTTCAAATAGGACATAGGTTGCAAACCGGAACGGTCTCTCCACTTTCTCTCTTGGTATTTTGATTAGAGAATGTACATGTATGTCACAGTGAGACTACGATGTGTTTTACTCAGCGCCAAAATTCCATGGCTCTGCGATGACCAGAAGCGCCATACCAAGCATTTGAGTTTTTGACGTGTTGCTTCCCACTGCGACTTGAGTTTTACGACTTTCGAAAAATCATCTTCTTGTCGCAGGTAAACAGCGGCTTGCCTCTCGCCAGTAAAGCACCGCATACCGACCAAAACTAATGGAAGCACACACAAGGCTTATTGTTACTCTGTACTGGCCGTCGTGGAGATTACCTAATTTCAGACCCAGCGTGAATTTGACGTGCACTCTATTAGTATTAAAAACATGTCCGGTTTGGAGCCACCTCTGATTTGAAGCGAAAAACTGGGCATGGATAGCGGTGCTAGTGCAAGTGACCGGATGCAGGTGGGTGATATGTCTACAGTTAGCAAGAAGACATTTATTATAAAACAATCTGAAGAGAAGGAAAACACAACTGAAGAGGCAAAACACATGAAGCACGGAAGTATCTCCCAAGCCAAGCAAGCATGCCGTTATGGTGCGAGGTCATACAACTGTGGTACAAATCTAGTACGGGAGTACATGAACTACAGGTCAAATATGGCATGGGGGAATCCATATACATCACGCCCCTTCGAGATAATGCTGAGAAAACAAATCCAGTATTATCTATCAAATCCAAACAAACAAACAAATAAGTATGGCAAGCAACGGCCTATAGCACACGGCGGAACAGACATAGCATGCCACACAAGGATACAGAAAGATACGATATGAGAACAATCCTCAAGAACATGTACACGATGTGTCCAGAACAAATCAAGATGCATAAGACTGTCCACGGGTGGAGGAAATGTTCAAACGAGAGGGTGGTTGGTGTGCTCGTGTGCTGCGACGCAGAGGAGGAGGCGTAGCAGGAGCAACGACAACAGACGGCTGTGGTGAAACGCATGGTGCTGGTGACGGCACGGGTGGAGAGAACGGACGAAGAAAACGGCGATTTCTCCAATAAACTCGACCACTAGCCAACTTGACGAAATAGTCACGGTGCTGCCCAATGGCCACAATCACGCCACGGGTTGTCCAACGCTTCGTCTTCGGATCCTGGACGTCCACAGGAGTGCCGATACGGAGAACGGGAAGAGAGCGGTGGGTGGGAGTACTGGCGGAAACAGGTGTCGAGGGTGGTGACTGTTCTTCACGCTCACTAGCGACGGTCGACCACGAGGAATCAAACTGCGTCCACTCAGCAATGACGAAAGACCGAAGTGGATGCCCGAGAAGATGCTCAGCTGGGCTCTTGCCAGACGGACCGGGCGTGTTCCGCCACTCCAGTAGACCACGACGAAATGCATCTGTGTCGAGATTGCCATTTGACGAGGTCTTGAGCAGCAAGCGCTTCATAGCTTTCACTGCAGCTTCCGCATGTCCATTACTCTGGGGGTAATGCGGGGAAGAGGATACGCGTTGCACTTGCCAACGGCTACAGAAGTCAGCAAACTTCTTCGATGCAAACTGGGGGCCACCGTCGGTGCACAGTACAGCAGGCACACCCAGATCGGCAAACCAACGACGACAAGCGAGAATGACATCGTGTGATGACGTGGTCCTGCCGGTTCGAACAACGCACGGCCAACCAGTCAGACGGTCGACATAAACAAGAAACTCGTAGCCTTGGCAAGAGAACAGATCAGCGGACACAAACTCGAACGGCAGAGTAGGATGACGGTCATTCATCGGTGGTTCGGCTGACTGCGACGACTGGAATTCTCGACACGCGGAACAGGCACGGACAAGGGTGTCTATGTCGGCGGTGAGACCAGGCCAGTACACGAGCTGCCGGGCGCGAGCCTTCGTGCGGACGAGACCTTGATGCGATGCATGAAGATTAGCAAGAACGCGTTGACGCATAGCCAAGGGAACAAGAATGCGTTGGCCTTTCATGACGATGCCCTGGTCCACTGACAGGTGCTCACGTCCATTCCAGAAGGGTTGGAGTGGAGCATCCAAATCACGCTGACGAGCGGGAAAACCATGCAGAACGCACTGGACAAGAGACTGATAGACTGGATCAGCTGAGGCGGCTGCTCGAAGTTCAGCAAACTTCAGGTTGGGGTGAGGACCATCATCACGGAGCATGCACACACGGATGCTGCGGCAATGAAGAGCAGGGGCTTCGCCGAGTTCATCATCTGAAGACGGGATGCCGACGGGATTGCGAGACAGCGCATCAGCAAACGCGTGATCAGAGCCTTTTCGCCAGGAAGCGTGCACTTGAAACGACTGCAGCTTCAGGCGAAGACGAAGAAGGCGAGGATTCTCGATCTGATCTAGAGAATACGCGTTGATAATCGGGATCAACGGACGGTGATCAGTGATCAGATCAAATAGGGTGCCGGATAAGTACAACTTGCACTTGTGCACAGCCCAAACGACGGCGAGCATCTCGAGCTCAACAACAGCATAGCGAGATTCGGCGTCAGAGAGGTAGCGGGAGCCACACTGGATGATTCGCCACTTATCATCCTGCTTCTGCCACAGAACGAAGCCGAGACCACGTAGTGCAGAGGCATCAGTCTCCAGACGGAGGTCGTGTCCATGCTGGTAGAAGGCCAGGATAGGAGGAGACAGCAGAGTAGACTTGGTCTTCTCGAACGCAACAGTGTGGTTGGCATCCCAGACAAATTCACGGGTCGTCTTCAACAGACCACGAAGCGGAGTGGTGCAGGCGGCGAGGTGTGGTGAGAACTCGCTACACTGGTTCACCAGGCCAAGAAACGAACGCAAATCAGTGCGGTTCGCAGGAATGTCAAAATCGCGAATAGCCGCTGCCTTGTCATCGTCAACAACCCAGCCGTCTGGACTGACAATGTAGCCGCAGAAATGGACGTGATGTGACGCAAAGGTGAATTTGGACGGGCTCAGAGTAATGCCATGCTGTCGAGCACACAGCAGGATGTCACGGACATGGGTGACATGGGAGGCAAAGTCGTCATCATAGGCCAGGCAATCATCTACAACCTTGGCGAAATTCGGGATTGCATCAAACGCAGCATCAGTGCGGCAGTTGAAAACATCCCCGGCGGAAATCAGGCCTTGAGGGTTGCGTAGGAAGCGATACCTGCCGTATGGGGTGATGAATGTGGTCATTGGACATGCCTGCTCACTCAGTGGGATTTGCCAGTATCCGTGCCTTGCGTCAAGCTTGGTGAGGAATTGTGCCGATCCAATACCAGAAACCACATCGCGAGCGGTGCGAACAGGGTGGGCTGGTCTCAGGACTTGGTCATTCAGTCGTTTGAAATCGACGGTGAGGCGTTTCTCGGAGGTACCTTTCTTGTCGACGAGCACAATTGGGTGACACCATTCACTAGGCTCACTGACAGGCTCGATTATGCCATCGACAACCATTGTGTCCAGCTGTGACTTGACCTGGTCACGAAACGCGTACGGAATCGGGCGTGCGGTATGGACACATGACGGCTTAGCATCTGGCTGAAGTTGGATGTCCATCGGAGGACCTGCCATCGCCTTCAAGCCAGTGTCGGAAAACACGTCCGAGAACTCCTGCAGTAGCTCATCGCGAACACGAGCGATATCAGCAGAGCTCGGATTGACAACAGGCTTTGATACAGCACGGATCTTAGGTTGCGCGGCAGCATTAGCAGCAGGGTACTGTGCAGGCCAATCTGACGGGAGGAGCTGGAGTGCACTCAAGGACGAACGTGATAGAAGAGCATCGTCCAGACCCTTGTACACGTGGATTACGGTGCTGTGTTGTACTTCGCCAACCTGAAGTGAAGCACGAATACTGCCGACGTTCTGCAACTGCTCTCCAGATGCCGCTAGGACGCACTCTGGGTCATGGTCGAGGTTCTCGGGGAACCCGCCAAGCAGTTCGAGATGATGCTCGCCAATGGCATCGACGTCACTGCCAGTATCAGGGACCCAGGGTAGCGTGACTGCCTCATCCTCAGTGGCTAAACGGGTGGACACACGCACAGTAGGCTGCGCAGCAAGACGAGTACGCTGCAACTTCAGTTGGCCCACATGCTTCACGTTCCGGTCCGATTGTGACGACGACCTACACATAGCGAGAAAGTGACCAGTCTTGCCACAGCCATTACATTTCTTGCCGCTGGCAGGGCAACTAGACTTTGTGTGCGGGCTCCGGCCGCAATTGGGGCACTTCTTGTGTGTGTCGCTTCCTGACGAGGGAGCGGATGCAGATGGCAATACAGGTGCAGACATCTTGCTGCCAGGCTGTCCCTGTCGGGATTGTTGCTTACTGCGTTGGTACGCGGACCGCCGCACAGCATTGAGCTGGCTGGTGGACGGGATACTGCTGCTCGTCGTGGTAGCCGCTTCCTCCGCCCGGCAAATTGTGACTGCATCGTTCAGGGTCAAGTCCTTGGCAGACAATAGCTTGTGCCGGGTAGCGTCGTCACCAATTCCAATGACAATCCTGTCACGCAGGGTGTCAGCACGCACACGTGTCAGGCTTGTGCGACAGGTACTACATGTGTGTGCTGAACATTGTGAGCACAAAACAACGTCCGGAAAATCACAGCTAGTGTGTAATTCTTTCAACGAAGTGTAAAAACAATCGAAAGACTCGCCTTTCGACTGACACTTGTCGTAAAATGCGATACGATCCAGGAGTGGGTTGCGCTGCCGTCGCAAATATTCCTTGACTGCAGAAATCACATCGTCCGCATCGGGATTCGGTGGAGTCACGATTATACCCTCGCGGAGAAATCTGCGTAGCTCCTCATCAAGAGCTTGCCGCAGCGAGGATACTCTGGTCTCACGGCTCTGGGCTGACAGGTGCTGGCACTCATAATAGTCTCGCCACATTTCCTGCCATGCCGTGAAGTCGGCTAATGTCGAGGACGACAGTAAAATCGGTCGCTCCGCAGAGACAGGCTTTGGAGCTGGTGATGTGGTGCTGGGTTGCACGGGTTGTTGTGTTGGTTGTGTCAGTCGTTGTATAGTTTGTTGGAACAGGTCAGCCATTTTACGTTCCCTCTCCTCTGAGGACTTCATTTGTGCCGCCAACATCGCGGTCAGGGCAACAATGTCAGGAGCAGGGTCTGAGTCGGACATCGTGGTCGCAACCTACGCAAATGCCAGTATCACGAACAAACTACAAAAAAAATCGGCCAGTGCGCAACACAACGAGGTGCAAACACAAAGCACGAGAAACTAAACACACAGGTGAGTTCTACAAGGAACGAACAGTTCACTGCGCCATGATATGTCTACAGTTAGCAAGAAGACATTTATTATAAAACAATCTGAAGAGAAGGAAAACACAACTGAAGAGGCAAAACACATGAAGCACGGAAGTATCTCCCAAGCCAAGCAAGCATGCCGTTATGGTGCGAGGTCATACAACTGTGGTACAAATCTAGTACGGGAGTACATGAACTACAGGTCAAATATGGCATGGGGGAATCCATATACATCAGTGGGGCTCCACGGATACATTGTGACCCTAGCCACTCGCTTCATGGGCAGTGAGGTCACGCACCTCATTGTGCTGCACCGACGGAAATCCACCGGTACGCGGTGGGGCAAGCTGCAAAACAAAGCGCGTGAGCGACTGAAAATGTGGCTCCACAGCTGCAAGATGATGGCAGTCGCTGTGGAAGCCAGCCGTATCCCAGGTGAATGCCATCACGGAACTCAAGCCATGCCGCTTCAATCAAGGGCCGACAGGTGAGCCAGGAAGAATTTCCCTTCTCCGATGCTAGCACAATGACCCGCTGCAACTCAGCATCCGGATATCCACAGATGAAGAAAGAAGCATAATCAGCATCAGCCCGAACCGAGGCGTCAACTGTTCTCTCTTTCTTTCCTTGGCGCTGATAGGTGGAATTCTCTGCCTGTCTCGTGTCGTCAGGTTGAGCATCTATCCGTTTTTGGTCCCCTCTGTAAAGAGCACTTAGGGTTCCCTGAAACAAGACGGCAACGTCTGTAGGGCCTTCCCTATCAAAATAATAAATTCTACTACAGTTGCGCTCGGTGAAATCCGGCCCAAAGTGCAAAGCCGGCGCCGCGAAGCCAGCTCCCATTACATCACTGGCGATTTGTGTGTATGAACTCAACTGTACGCACCTCGTGTAAAAGTTCGGAGTGCTAGTGTTGCATGCTAAAAACAGTTCAAAATTTCTTTCATTCACTTCACTCAAGAACAGCAGGATCTTCTCGATAGCGGAGTACCCAACATCCTGTTTCAACCTCCCTGCTCGCCGGACATGAATCCGATCGAGAATGTGTGGGCTCTTCTCAAGAAGAGAATAATTCCACATCGCTGCGAGAATGCTGACCAGCTGGTGCAGGCACTGCACCTGGAGTGGGACTCGTTGGGTCCTGACACGGTTTCCCCATACGTGGAGTCAATGTCACGTCGTGTTGAAGCCCTAATCGAAGCTGACGGTGGCCACACAAAATATTGAAGCCCTGCTGTTCTGTGTATGAAATAAACTGCTTCGAAACGATCTCCGTCTTCTTTACTTGTGCTGAACTGAAATGAATGTTACACATGTCTTTGTTTGGCGAGGTTTTTTACACTTTGGTGTAAGCATGCATGCGTATGAGTACAGCACATGCACAGTTCATACGGCACACACCCACACTAGCACTTGTACAACTTTGAGGGCGTCAAGGGCCGCATCAGTACTGGGCGCCAGTTATGCACTTCGGGCCGGATTTCACCGAGCGCAACTGTACTAGTACTAGTATTAACTGTGTTCTTCACTTGCTTCTTGGCAGGGCGCACTCGTACTCGTGAATGTCGGTACCTAATTTGTAGCAGGCCGGGAGTCGAGTTGTAGCTAGCCCTGCGTTGTAGCTAAGTGCGCAACCGGTAACCTGCCAAATATGCAGGTATTTTCCAGAACGCCTTCAGAATCACAAAATTTATGTAACTGTCTGTTACTTTGTTGCCGTAGTTCTGTTGGCTTACCAAATCATGTCAACACACGAACTAACTGTTACTTGTTTTCGGTATGAGGGAAAGGCTCCATAATCTATTTCTTCATTGACATAGCTCTTTGGCGTCAATCTATGGATCTTCCCGTAGCGAGATTGCGACTATGTTCCTATGCGAGTTTCTTTGCTCGGAGTGGTGCTTGTCATTGAGACCTAGGTACGGGAAACACTTTTCGTTTTAGTTTTCTGGTGAACAGAAAGGCTCGAATTTGTGATGGCAAGCGACAGCAGCAGTGAGAACATTCCGACTGCGCTGTGGAAGAGAGTGAAATACGGGTCCGTGTCGACAAGTGGCGAAGAGCAGTCCTGCGATAGCTCATCACGGTTGTCCGAAGAGGGCTTGCCACCACGAACTCCCAGCAAGCCACGCCGCACCCCGGAAGCGTCACGCAGAGCTCGGGAGCTGTGCATTTTTCATGCAACGTCCTTGGCCGATGATGAGCCTGAGCCTCATTCCAATCAGTTCGTGACAGCTGTTTCATCGTTTGCGGAGAGGAGAAGAAAGCTATCGAATGTGCCGCAGGAGGAAAATGTAACTGATTCGTCCAGTGACGATCATGTGGTGGAGGCGGCCACAGGTGCAGATGATTCTGCAGCGATGGACGGGGAACATCACCCATTCTCACAACATTTTAGATCCGCATCAGGTCATAGTATGGAACCATTCGATTCACCTTGCAGTAGACGAAGTAGTAGCAGCAGTAGTGGATGCAATACCTGCGCCTCGCCCAGTGCTACTGCCAGTCCTCCACCTAGCCCGTCACCAAGCCATGAAAAACCGAGGCCCAAAAAAATGCCGCGGCAATTCACCATGTCCGAGATGATTGTTGATCCTAAAGTTGATTTAGCCAAAAAAATGCATTGTCAGCAGCTGTTAGACAAAGGTGAAGCTAGGGAAGAATCACCTCTACCTACAGTTCGCTGTATTTCTCCACCGGGTGCGCGGCAAGTCATCATTCGACCTGCCAGCAGCAGAACACTGAGATCAGTAAGTTCACCGATTGGTTGCCAAGCTGCACTTGCCGGTGTACCCACTGGGCCGGATGGAAGTCCACGCAATGATGCAAAACAACGAAGTATTTCAGTTACCACTAGTTTGGATGGCAGAACAGGTGAGCCCTGTAGTTCTAACCAGTCGTCGCCACCGATGCCTCGTCCAAGGTCTGCTAAAACACTAACTGCACGGCCAAACCGACTGACAACACTGCACCGCTCATCAAGGTTTCAACGCGCTACTAGCACAATGTCACTAACTGAGTCAACACCCTTTGAAGACGACACAATGTTCTATGATGAGTATCAAGCAGCTAATGGGTCACGTCCACAGTCGCCTGAAACTTGTTCTCAGAAGCCGACTACATTAGAAGTTCGACTGGAAGTTCAGAAGGGGGCAACAATTACGAATACCTGTTTGGAATCGCCAACCCTGAAGAGACACATTGCCATGGTACGTGACATTAGCTTTGTGTGCAGCATAGCTGTACTGTTTTTTGTGCGTGCGTGTGTGTGTGTGTGTCAGTTGCCGGGGCTGGTTGGCAAAGTGACTCCAATTTCACTTCAAGGTACTAGTGCATCCAGTGTCTGCTTCTATCAAAGCAGCGTGCTGTCTGGTTACCTCAGGAAGTGTAGTGTGTGCATAGGTAACGATCTTGGCCGTCCTATACCGATGTGCTCCGTGCGGTGCAGACCAGGTGTGCATTGGGGGGGGGGTCGATTCACATGGCTTTACCAGGTGTGTGGATGAGGCAGTCATCTGGTGCTAGTCTTGCTCTGTGGGTGAACATCCAATGCATTTGCAGATTTGCGTGCTTCTCTTGCAACGGGCGTATACCTGGTATGCATGGTGTGTGTATGTGTGTGTGTGCATGTATGTGTGTGTGCACGTGTGTGTGTACACGTGTGTGTGTGTGTGTGTGTGTGTGTGTGTGTGTGTGTGCATGCATGGTCTTGACAATGCAGGCATGCCAACTTGATGATTTGCTGGAGTTGATGACCGCCTCGGGCTGGTGCCTTGTTAAGCTAGCAAAGCGTCACGAACCAGCAAGCGACTCGCCAAAGTTGACAAAGAAAATGTCACTACATGGTCTACGGTACAGCTCTGCACCACAAGCAAATATCTACGAGTGTTCGTTCCACCGATGTGCCTTTAAGAGGCTTCAGAGTTTTGACAGCTGTTCAGCTGGCAACACAGGACGCTTCAGCCGAGACAGCACGGCGCTGGATTTCTGTAGTCCGCCTGTGTCGCAGGCCACGCAGCAACGGTTTTCAAATGCTAGCAGCGTCACAAACTCGTCCGGATGCAGCGGCTACTCTAGCTCTATGCCTGGGAATATTAGTGACGTGTCTTCCAGTGGCATATGCTCTCCCATGTCCGAACTGTTTGGTGACAACCTTAGCGAAAAGAAAGCAGCTGATTTACAGCTTCTCTTGCAGTTCTTTGACATTCCTGTGGCGGCTAATGGTGGTGGCTCTGCGCCTCAGTAGTAACAGCTGTCCTCTGCAGCTGGAGAGTACAAAGTGCTGAAGGGACACATTTTGTTCACGCCTGAATACAACATGTAATCCTTAGATCCCCCCCACCCACCTAGACGGCTGCGCTCACTAGCTGATCCCCCCCCCCCCCCCACCACCACCACCACACACACGTACCTAGATATTATTGCTTTATCCTCATTCTACTGCCACTGCTGCCTTGCTAACTACCTCTATAGAATTTCGTAGCTGAGGCTTGCACATTGATAGTTTTGTACAGCGAAACGCTCAGGCAGCAACACTTCAATTGTACAGATAAGGAGTAGTAGATCTTCATTGCACAATAGCAGCGGTTACGTAATGTTTAGTACTACCCCCGCCTTATACATATTAGGATATTTTGTTTTTGTATGTATTAAAATAGTGAATTTGTGAATACAGAGAATACTGAAAACACTACACTGTATTGGCAACTGAGAGGCCTCTTGGAGAAGGAAGTTTCAATTCCCTTTGGCCAGGGCCGGAGGCAGCTTCCGCGGAGCGGTGTGGCCAAAGGGCCATCTTTAAGGGGGGTGTGGGGGTCCTCCGCCAGAACATTTTTGGAATTTAGACGGCAAATCCTGCACTCTGGGCGACTCCATGTACAAAATCATACATCGAAACTTTTTCTCCCCGGTTTTGGACGTTCCACGTGGACCGACTTTTTGGGAAGTTGGTACGGCCATGGCCGTACCGGCCGTACCAGTGGCGCCGGCCCTGCAAAGCTATGCAAAAGACGTCCGCCGCACATGTGTGTGTGTGTGTGTGTGTGTATGTGTGTACGGGTGACGAGGGGTCGTTCATGCAGGAGAGAGAGAGAGAGAGAGAGAGAGAGAGAGAGAGAGAGAGAGAGAGAGAGAGAGAGAGAGAGAGAGAGAGAGAGAGAGAGAGAGAGAGAGAGAGAGAGAGAGAGAGAGAGAGAGAGAGAGAGAGAGAGAGAGGGGGGGGGGGGGAGCTGCCTACTCAGCACCCACACTATGCTTGGTCTTTATCTACAGGTGATCACTAATAATAATTATTGCACTATCTGCTCACTCTGAAGCTGTGACAGAAGAAACGTCTTTGCAAGTCATGTACGTGCTAGCCATCGCGATAATTGTATTGCAAAGACGTTTCTATCAGTTTGAGTAGCTCATTTGATGGCCAAGATAAAACAAAAAGCACCGCGAGACCCTGAACTAATAGCTCTCATATGGCTATAAATACATGTAAAGCAAAGGATGGCATCATGAAATCATAATAATTACATCCCAAAAAAATAACAGTTCGCGTGAGACTCGGCTGGAGGCTGGAATTTTCCGCATCCACAGGAACGCCACCACCCTTTAGGATCAAAGCGCAGATGCAGCTCTTAAGCAGTGGCAGGTGAGTAGATCAGACCCACCACAATGTGGTCAAAGACCGAAAAATCCCATTCGCTGCATCCACGTTTCCCTCATGCCAGGCCACAAGTTCCCAATTAACTGTGGGTCGCAGCACGGCTGGAAAATCCTCCCGCTTCCAAGCAGGACTTGAACAGGCAGGCATAGTGGGATGGTCTATTAAGGCTATGATTGAGAAACAGAGGGTACCAAGTTCAATTATATCAAGCTATGAATACAATTAGCTGCGCACTCATTACTCCGATAAACAAGGCAAGGTAGTCCCGGAGGTTTCCAAAAACCTGTTCTTGTGACTATCATCAGTTGGAGCTAAAAAGGATTAGACTCGGGTGGAGAGCCGAGGATTAATTTATAAGAAGAAAAGAGGACCAAAGAGTTACAAGTTACGCTATAATGTCCACTAACACCACCAGCTATTTTACAATCAGCTCATGCG